CATCTGATCAGGATGAACTAAGATATAATATAGTCTTTGGACTTGGGGAGAAATCGAATTGCCTTGCTTCGGGAAATTCGACGTCAGAAGTCTGCTCAGACTCTGAGTGTATTCCAATTCCCAACAATGCCGTGCATTATACAATTTGTCGCATTAACTTGCCAGGCGAACGCCAGCTCATCAGACTTGAAGATTCCTGGCATATAGCAAATGGGCCCGCAAGTCCGCCGATTCAATCAGCAACTATAGATAATGAATTATCTTCCCAAGATATTCGATTGGCTAGCTCGTCAGGCAATCTTCAATCACCGTCGATGAAATTTCCTCTTAGGGCCGTAAAAGCTTTAAAAAGCGGAGTGGAAAATTCAGGCCTGGTGTCTGGGCGCAGTTGCACTGAGATTCATCCCCAGACTCAGCAAAGAAATTCTAGCACAGATGAAGAAAGTAAGGTTGTTCAGTCTTATTTTAAGACGCAAGGATGGAATTTGATTCGTCCAATATCGGCTGCTTATTCTCCACCTTGTGATTCTCCACAACCAAACACTGCATCCTCCCTATCCTCATCTGCTCTCGATCTACTTTATCAACCTCTCAGTACTAATCTCAATTTAGCAAGTCGTGACAGTCTTGCACTGAATATAATTGTAGCCATCAGCCCACTTCTCTTTATACCAATAGAACGGCGAAGTGCCAAGAATGGAATTTCCGACACGCTCGGACGATTTAGTTTGAACCGGGCTATTCTACGTGAAATCTTGCCAGCCGAAAGTCAGACAGGTGAAGATTCTGATTCTGAGACAGAGGAAAATGAGAATGGAGACGAAGAAGAAGAGGAGGAAGAGCAGGAAGAGTCTGAAGAAATCGAAGATGAGCTAGACACCAGAGACGAGATCGTTGAGCAAAATGAAGGAGGAAATGAATAAATTGAGCAGAAAAGATAACAATAGAATGAGTTATTGGAACAATATCAATCAGGAGCCAAAAGTGTTTGGAGCAATATATACTGCAATAGTATCAAGTACGAAGATTCTAATGTTGAATGAGAGGAAACATAACAATCTATTTTTACTAAGAGCAGAAAGGTCTAACTTTCATAAAGAAGCACAAAATATTGCAGTAATTAATATATAAGTAGC